CCTTGGAGCAACTCAACGGATTATTCTGGGGGAAAGAGAATTAATGGGAATCAAAGCTTCACTCTAAAATAGTGAATGTCTCTTGGTGGAAAATAAGCCCTCATCAAGCTGGGTTGGGGGAGAAGTTAGGGGGGTGAAGGAGGCTGTGTCACAGTGTCACAGTCTCCCCAACCCAGGGAGCTAGTCACTGGCCTGGATGACAGGCAAAGCTGCTCTTCTTCCATCTCTGCTGTGGGTTTGCAGACTGACTAGCAGCCCTGGAGCACACTGCATGTCCATGGAACTGGGAGGAAAGAGACCAGCATGGCTAGCCCACCCATTCCATGGGACTTTGCAAGCTCTTGACCAGTATGACACTGCTTTACTCTGTTCTACAACAGACCCACCGCCACCCTCAACTTGCTAAGAGTTTGAACTTTTTATACATTGGGACTGAAACCAGAAGAGCCTGGAAGGAGAAACTAAAACTCTACAGAGGAGTTCACCAACAAAACCGCACATGTGCTCCCCTTCTGTCCCAGTCCTCTCGTCTGGCCTGGCCAACAGCCCTGGACCCAGTGGAGAATACAGGAGGCAGGGAGAAACCTGGCCAGAGGATGGGCCAGAAGCGGAGGGCTGTCTTGGAGGAGCTTGTGCCCTCTGATTGTTCCTATATGGGAGCTCTGGCCTCAGAAGAATGTGTTTGGATCCTAGCCTATCAGTTCCCATCTTGACCAAGAGTTTCGCAGGCACTCTTTCATCCAGTGCTCACAGTGACTGAGGTGAGGCTCCACACAGCCTGGTGAGGGCAGAACTCGGGTCTGCTGCTGCCTCTACAATAGCTCTTCCCCTGCACCTGATGCTTCCTTGCTTGACTGCGGCAGACCCTGGAGAAGCAAACACCCTGTCTTTGCTTTCAGGGTGACAGCCGTGAGATAAGCCCTTTTCAAAAGGCCACCTCCTCATAGCAGGTCCGTCCCTGAGCATTGTTAGAGGAGGAATAACTAACTGCCTCATGATCTGCCTTCTAGAAAGTTTCCTCTGGCAGATGGAGCAGGGCCAACAATGATCCAGTTTGTGAAACAAAATTGAGCCTCCAGCCTTCACAGGTTGGTGAGAAGGAAAGGCTGCCTTCTGAAAAGGGGAGCAGACAGCCTCTGAAGCAGGGCACCCCAAGGTTCGCAGGGGATTTGTATCCACGGCTTCCCTGGGGTCCCGTCATAATCCACCCAGAAACCCGCAGGCTTGGGTCCTTACCCTTCCGTAGGCCCATTCAGGAGAACCGCACAGGTGCTGGGAAGTGGAGTAGAGCCTCTGAAGGGCCTTTCATCACCAACCACTTTTTTTAATGTTTACTTGTTTTGCAAGAGAGAGCACACAAGCAGGTAAAGGGTAGAGAGAGGGAGGAGAGAATCCCAAGAAGGCTCCCTGCTGTTAACACAGAGCCCGATGCAGGGCTCCATCCCATGGGGTCATGACTTGGGATCATGACTCAAGCCAGAATCAAGAGCAGGTTGCTCAGCTGACTGAGCCACACAGGCACCCCCATCACTAACCACTTCTAAAAACTGAGTTTGAATCACTTGAGTCATACCACCTTTCACCTGCTCCCCCGTGCCCCTCCCCTCTACAGCCACCCTCACCCCTCTCCTCCCCAACCTGCTCGGTGTTTGTGATCCTGCAGCTTGTGGCCAAATGTTTAAGTGAGTCTTGTCAAGTAACGTGCTTTCAGAAAAGATCGAAAGTTACAGGAAGGGAGAGGAGGAAGGCCCAAAGCTCTGCTCAGTTTACATTCTCACCCTGAGCAGACTTCATTCCTGAAGGAGATGGGGTGGGCATGGGGAGATGATCACTCACTCAGGTTCTGGAAACTTCATGGGGGAGTTTTAGGGTCCTTTCTGGGTCTGAGTGATGGGCTTTTCCAAGTCAACTCTGCCTCTGGGATGGAAGACACCTGACCAGTTATCTGTTCATTTGTTCTCTTGTTAAACATCTGCTATCCCCATTGTGACAGGCACTGTAGAGAATTCAAACCAAAGATCAGGTCATCTTTTCCCTTAAGGATTTTACCGTCTACTGGGGGTGATAAGTGAAACTGAAGTATCTATGCTACAAAGTGGGTGTGTGTCTGTAACCAAGACATCCAACCTGCATGAGCTTTGTTTTAGGGAAACAGAAGCTCAGGAATGCATTGGAGCCCACCAGCTTTCCTCTGATGGGAGACTAGGGAGCCGACGCAGATTTTGTCAAGTTACTCACAATTGTCAAGTGGACAAAATGAAAGTAGGATGACAATAATAATCTACTAAGCCTCGAAAGCATCAACAATAAGTAATTTATTAAGCACCAGAGTTTTATATGCATTGGATTATTTGGTCTTCACAATAACTTAAATTAGTATGTGCGATTATTATGCCCATTTTACAAATGAGAAAACTGAGGCTATCAGAGGGTATGAAGACTGCCCAAGGTGACAAAGCCGGGAGTGGATGAAGCACCGGTCCAGCAGTCCAATAACCCATGCTCTTAGCCTTTCTGCTCTACTGATTCCCCCATGAGAGTGAAAATGTACCCCAGCAAAAATCCAACTCAGGAAGGAGTAGTTTCATGTTTTGGCCACATGCACTACCAAACCCCAGTGCATACTCCTTCTACCAACCTGTGTAGGTAAGGGGACAGAAGATAGGGGAGGAGAGCCCTGTGTGTTTATCTAACTTTTACCGTTTGTTCTTATGCCCTCGGCTTGTAGCGTCCAAGTGATCTTCCCAGGGCAGCATTCCTGGGGTGGAGCATGAGGGAGGGACAGGCACACTTGCCATACGGGACGGTGGGGCCAGCTGTCAGGCTGACTGCCAGTGGAGAAGTCACAGGACCTGGATTGCCTTCAGAGCTGGTGCCCCATGGAACAGATCAGCTTATCCTGCTGCACTTATTTTTACTTGAGGGAAATTATCACCCTCCAAACCCTGTCCCTGTGGTGATCTGAGTGCATAGGACAAACCAAAACAATGAAACAACAGCCACAGGGAAACCACAGCCTGGCTCACTTCTGAGAAGGAATACTTTTTAGAGGAAGCCAGAAATTGTAGTGATGGTAAGAAACAAGATCCCAGAAACTTCATTTACAACTTTTAGTGCTTTGTATTGAAAGTTCTCACTCACACTGCTAGGACGAGGATATAATAGACCACGTTGGACTCTCCACTGTCCCAGACCCTGGAAGTCCATTCCAATCATGTGGCTTCCAAAACGTGCCAGGCGTCTCCCCAAGGGCTACTGCTCCTGATGAGATGTGAGCAATGGGAGAGCAAAGAAGGCTAGCGTGTCAAGGGCATTTTAATCTGCCTTCCTGATCTCCTGTAGCTGAGTTCTCTAGGGTCTGATGGAACCTCTTGCAGGTCCCAGGGACAGCAACCCAGGCTAGTCTGTGCAGCTGGCCAAGCACCAAGCCCAGGTCTCAGTTCCCTCAACATGAAGTGTGGGTACCAATACCGAAAAGGAGCAAGAGTATTGGGGTACACATGTGTCTGGTGGATGAGTGAGGATATACATGCATATATGAATGTAGGTGTGCATGAATGGGTAAATGAATAATAAATGAACTGAAAAGACAGATGCCTTCCAATCAGACCATGAAATATATTTAATATCTAGTTTCATCAGATCCACAAGATCATTTCTACCAAATATGAAGAATTACATGAAACCAGTCACCACCAATGGTTTTATAGTACGTGTGCCAGCATGGCCTCTCTCACTTATCAGCACAGAGCACTTATTCTTACCTTATCGGTGATCATTTCTGGAAACTCATCTGTTCTTGGAAAACAGGGCTGTGTTCCAGCAGCTGTCAGGCCAGGACACATAGACAACCACCTGCTCCACTCACCCGTGAGAGGGGTCGTGCTCAATGGCTGAGGCGGGGAGGGAGAATACAGAGAATCTGAGGGAGCTTAAGACTTATTTTGGAAGGACTTGTGAGCAACCCCCACACTACCATAGGGTGGGAGCCTTCTGTGGCCGGGTGGAGAATAGCATCCTTGTCGTCCAGCAGGAAGTGGCAAACTTCAGGCACCGGTGGGATTTGGGTGGTGGGAGAAAGGATGTGGGACAAAGGAAGAAAGGTTCACACCACCCAAGGCCACTGCTTAGCTAAGAAGGTGCTGTGAAGGGAAAAGGGGCTGATCCCCAGAGCAGCAGCCTAGTGATAAGGAATGCGTACCATGCCCATGGTTGAAGGAAGGGTCTGTGGACCAGACAGGAGAAATAGAACACAGTGTATAAGACACGAAAAATACTCTTACAGGGAGTCTGCGGAGTTCAGTTGCCTGTCACCACCCTGTGGTGGTACCTCCATATGCCCGGACCTATCATGGGCACTGAGGATAAACCTGCGCAAAGTCTGTTCTGACCACGTAGAGCTTACAGTTTAGTGGGTGGTAGGAAGACTCCTGGTAAGTGGTGACAACCTGGGAGTGCGGTACCAGCTTCCCACTGGGTGGCCCTGGGCAAATCGCTGCACCCGCCCGGGCTTTGCCAGTGGGGTGTCCAGTGCTAACTCCCAGGGCTCTGCTCCTGAGCAAAAGAAACTCTTATTTGAAATTGATCAGTTCATTGTGTTTCTCTGTGTCTACTTTTCACTTTAAATTCAAGTAAAATAAATTGTATTCTCTTTTATTCTAAATGGCATGAATAATACAACCTTGCATCTGTAAAAGTCTAGATTCCTTTTTATCTGTCCACTTATGCTCTCTTCTATCCAACTATAAATTCATAGACGTCTGTCAGGAATAGTGTTCCACAAATTTCCTTCAGCTGAAAGATTCTGAATCATGTGAATTTTAACAGGGAGCGTGTGTTATTTCTACAAATATAACAAAGTCTTGATTATTTGCATAAAAATGGAATAAATTGTTGGGAATCTAGGTCAGTCAAAGCATGGCCTGGCTTGGTAACTATGGCAGCCGGGGTCTTGGGTGTCTCTGTCGTTCGTTCACTTGGACTTGTTCTCTTCTCTTCAGGTACCAGACGTGCTCCAACAATGGCCTGGTGGCGGGGTTCCAGAGCCGCTACTTCGAGTCCGTGCTGGATCGGGAATGGCAGTTTTACTGTTGTCGCTACAGCAAGAGATGTCCATATTCCTGCTGGTGAGCCTGGTGGAAGGAGCCTGGAGTCTGGAGGGGAGTTTGGGGGTGCTCTGGTCCATGTTTCTGGCTTCAGATAAGCCTGGGCTGTCATAGGCAAGCTTGGGATGCATTCATATAGAAGGAAAAGAATACATAAAATTAAAGAAAAGGCTAGAATAATATTCAAGCAGGGAGGGACCTTTCACGTCATCAACCCAATGCACCTACACCCCTCTTTTGGCAGGAAAGAAAACAAACAGAACAATAGAACAAGGAAGCCACTTGTCCAAAGCCACCCAGCTGTTTCATGCGGATGTGACCTCTACAGCTGACACCTACTGACTCCTGTTCTAGGGCTCTTTCCCTCTATCACGCTAACTTCTCAGCACATCCAGGGCTGCTGGACCTGTTCAGGAACCTGTGTTTTTTCCTGTAGACCTTCTTAGGAAGAAACCAACCCACTCCCAGGTCAGAGTGGCAAACAGGGTATATAATTATAGACTAAAGAAAGAAGCCAGTGTTTTCTAGATCAATGTGTAATTCCAGTATGTATAATTGCGTTCCCTTCCTGTTCGCTGGGCTGTTTGCCCAGTATCCCCTGACCTGGCCTTTAGATTGACTAGGAGAATATGTATGTATTTATTTACCCTGACGACTTCCACTGGGTGTTGATAACACAACTTGTCCCAGGTTCCTCCGTGTGCAAACAAGCCAGACATTTCCGCCTCAGACAAGGGATCCCAAGTGTCAACATTTGAAGGGTGGCTCATTCAAGTGATTTATCTCTCTGCGATGTGATGCTAGAAAGGGCAGCCTTATGGGTTATACTGTCTTCTGCAACCAGACAGCTTTGTTTCACAGATGCCTGAATGGCTGTAAGGATGGGCAGTTCCAAAGGCTTAACATTTTTCTGTAAAGAGTACTGATAACTAGTAAATTCAGAGCTCAAAGTTAGCCACTGTCAGTAGCCCTATGATGGAGCAGGGGCCTTCTCCAGCTCTCCAAAGCTGCCTCCATAAAACAGTTCTTACGCCACCGTGGCAGGTGCACAGGCATGGCTAGGGCATAGGCTAGAACTGTGACAGGTCCCAAAGGCAAAGACTTAAAGCCCGTGCGTGGTGGTGCAGTGTGGCAACACTGATGGGCCAACAAGAAGCTTGTGTTTATGGCTCCGTGTTGACGTATCCTCTCCCTCCCTCCCCTCCTCCCCCACCTCTTCCCCTCTTCCACTGTGACATCTCTAGAAAGTCACTTTTCTTCTCTATGGGGTCTCAAGTCTAGCCACCTTTTCTGGATCTCTGAGGTTTTTAAGAATCTCATGAAAGCTATAGATCTTGTCTTCAGGAAAAAGAAAATGCACTTCAGTATGCTTAAGCAAAAGTTTATAGAGAATTTTCAGGAGTCCTCAAACTCCTGAAAGCCACTAAAAGATCTTTGAGGTTGTTTTGTTTTGTTTTGTTTTGTTTGCTGTTTTTTTTTTTTTTTTACAAATAGTTTATTGTCAAATTAGTTTCCACATAACACTTAGTGCTCATCCCCACAAGTGCCCTCCTCCATGCCCATCCCCCCTTCCCCCCCACATCCATCAGTCCTCAGTTTTTGTCAGCATTCAAGAGTCTCTCATGGTTTGCCTCTCTCCCTTTCCCCCACCATTTCCGCCCTTCTTCTCCCCCTTGTTCCTCCGTCAAATTCCTCCTAATCCTTCTATACGTGCAAACATATGATATTTGTCCTTCTCTGCCTGACTTATTTCGCTCAGCGTAATACCCTCAAGGTCCATCCGTGTTGCTACACAAGGCCAGATTCCATTGTTTCTCATTGCCGTGTAGTATTCCATGGTATAGATAAACCACATCTTCTTGATCCATTCATCTGTTGATGGACACTTAGGCTCTTTCCATGTTTTGGCTGTTGTGGAGAGTGCTGCTATGAACATTGGGGGTACATGTGCTCCTGTGCCTCAGCATTTCTGTATCCCTTGGGTACATTCCTAGCAGTGCTATTGCTGGGTCATAGGGGAGTTCTGGTGTTAGTTTCCTGAGGAACCTCCACACTGTTTTCCAGAGGGGCTGTACCAGTTTACATTCCCACCAACAGTGTAGGAGGGTGCCCATTTCTCCACATCCTCGCCAGCATCTAGAGTTCTCTGATTTGCTCATTTTAGCCGCTCTCTTTGAGGTTGTTTTGAGTCCTAAAAATTCCTTGATTCCAAAGATACTTTTGCAAAGGGCAATCAGATGCCCAGAACTGTTTTCAAAGAGAGGATGAAGGCCTGAAAGATGACTGGGCCCTACTGATAGAGAGAGGAGAAGGTAGGAGCCTACCCAGTGACCTGAGAAATGTGGCTTTCCCCAATCTCCCCATCCTCAATCTGCCAACAGAGGCCACCCCCACCATGAAATGCACCTCCCTTGTCAGAAGGAGTTAAAAGCCAGTTAAAATGTAATAAATTATCTGAAAGAGTAAGCAACCAACTAATAGTTAATCTATTACCACATTGGCAAGACGTCCCCTTAGGCTCCCAAAGAACCATCAGGATTGGAGTACACTGGGTGACCCAGAGGAGCACATTCAGGAGAGAGGGGTAAAGAGAAGTCAGCCCAGAGTGGACTGCCCTGGGGAGGATGGACAGCCTGAGGGCAGGGGGCGCCCAGGTGTGGGGGACTCTGTTTTCTGCCCCACATGGATGCCTCTGTTACAGCACTCAGTGCACTACATTTGAACTGTGCATGTATGGTTCCCTCTCTCTGTCTAGACTGGGAACATCTAGAGGATACAGGGAACTCAATGATCTTCGTACCCCAATGCCTAGTGTCATGCTCAGAAAAGAGTGTCTGTGCCAATTATTGAATGAATGTTTGAATAAATGCTTCTAGAGGGCATGCAGAAGAAGGTGAAGAGGCCAGAAAATATAATTTACTTACTTACTCCAATTTTTTAATCTGTCCCCACCCTCCCACTCTTGCCCTAGAACGCAAGCCCTGAATAAGCAGACATTTTTGTATCGACACACCCAAGCCCCTTAAATAACGCCAGGCAGGCACCTATGAGGCACTCGATAACATCTGTTCAATGAATGGATGAGTAACTTCAGCCTTCTTCCTAATTTTGTGAGGATTAAAATTATATATGCCCGGTATTGCCACCAACTACGATCACACAGAGCTGACCTATCCCCTTCAACCCTCCCAGCTGCAGTGTAGATCCAGCCTCCTCACCAACTAATAGGCCTTTCAAAGGCTGACTCTACCCAAGGCCATCAGAGTCAGGGGCCAGATCGCCCTGCGGGAGGCAGAACCCGTGTCTGGAGCTGGCGGTGCAGAGAAACAAGAAACCATCCACTTGCACCGTGTGCCAGGAATGGCTGACTCATTCCTCCCCAGGCAGAGGAGGAGGGAGCTGGAGTGGCTGCCTGTCTCATCAACGAGAGGACCAATGTCTCTGCCAAGAGAGGTGGGGGTCTGCTCCATCTTATGGTCACACAGTCTCTGGTTGGCCACCTGGCTCCCAGGCAAACAACAACGACAGGGAATGCGCTTGGGGCCCAAAGCTTTTGGTGACAAGGCAGGCAAGAAACTGAGACTCATTCATTTTAGAAAAATTATCGAACAGCAGAGATGGGGGTGGATGGAGACAAAGGTGGGATGAAGGGGCACTATCTAATCTTCCCAGAGTCCCCATGTTCTATGGGGTCTGTAATCTGTGTCACTATATGAGTATCATTGCTTGAAGCTTACCCTGTTTCTTTGAATGCTGAGACTCTCAAAGGCATCCAGATTGTTATGTCTTAAAATTCCACTAATTTTCTAATGATCCCTCAGACTTCCCTTGGTCACTCAGGGGCTGGTTCCAGATTCCTCCTGCTGGGTGTCCTTCCTTTCACGCACTTTAGAAAGGACTTTTCAAGTTCCCTTATTTTTTTTTAATGTTTTATTTATTTCTAGGAGAAAGAGAGAGACAGCATGAGCAGGGGAGGGTCAGAGAGAGAGGGAGATACAGAATCTGAAACAGGCTCCAGGCTCTGAGCTGGCAGTCAGCACAGAGCCCGACGCGGGGCTCGAACCCACGAACCGTGAGATCACGACCTAAGCGAAAGTTGGATGCTTAACCGACTAAGCCACCCAGGCGCCCCTCAAGTTCCCTTAGATGCAACGCACGAGTTGCTAAAGATGTGAACAATTTAATGAACATGGAAGTATATACTAAGGAAAAAACTCCTTGGGTCAACAATGAGAAAAGGGAGATGAGCAAATTTTCTTCAGTTGCCCGAGACATTCAGGGCCGCATGGCAAAACTCACCTCGAGCCTTGCCTGCAATGGTCCACCCCCTCCCTCCCCCCACCCCAGAGGGTCAGCAGAACCAGCTTGGGGGGAAAGAGGAGAGAATTACTCAGAAAGACACCGCAAGTCAACTTGGAGGCAAGTCCCCCCTGGGAAAGGCTTTGCTTAGCTGCATCTATTCTGACTGCATGGTGGTCGAGCAGAGAGCCACCGCAGCTGTCCAAGACAGTGATACTTTTTCAAAGGAAAACATGGAGAAGCAGTGAAGGGAGATTGCCGCATGCACCGTGCATGACTCACTATCCCACTGGGGCGTCTAGACATTTTAGTGGCCTCTTTAAATTGCCTGAGTCATGACGTTCCTTATATTATATGTCTTTCTAAACTGAATGAAGCCTCTAGGGCAAAAATTAGGTCTTACTTCCTCTGTGTCTCATAGAGGATTGCCTCGCACAAAACAGGCCCTTAATCAATGTCTAGAGTGAATGTTGCAAGCCCATAGGGACGGGAACTGTGGCGAAACCTCACACTGATAGGATGCTGTTTTCTAGTTGAAAAGGATTCTTTCACATGCATTATTTTCTTTGATCCTTCTAACAGCCTGTCAGAGTGAGGAGTGTTTTCCCACACCTTCCCACGTTGAAACCTGCTGATAACCTTCGTATTTGAAGCCTTCCCTTACGTCACCTCAACTGACGTAAATTCCCTCCCAGGGAACTAGACGCATGTGTGTGGGGACA